AACCTGTGTCCCGGTCTGCTGTCAAGGGCGAGGCCTCAACAGCAAAGGCTCTGGGAGATGACAGGGTGGCCAATCCCAAACGCCAGAGTCTGGCGCTTATATCCTGCCGACCCCATCCCCATATCTAAGAAAGCATGGATGGCAGCTCACTCTCCAAATGCCCACCAAACCTTGTGAAAGCCCATGTCCAAGGATGCATCTGCCTATCTTGCCCCCTGTCCCCTGCAGGACACTGCACGTCAAAGGACAGACATCCTTCCACTGGATAAGTTCTCAGTCCACTCTCTTCCTCTCCTTCCCTCCACACTCCCTTTCTTCTCTCCTAAGAGGATGGGAGAGCACAGCGTGGTGGGCTCCTGCCGGCTCTGTGTCATATTCTATTCGAGCCTGAGGGACACTAGATAAATCCTCTTGTTCAGCTTCCTCATCCCAGCCCAGAGAACAGACTTGGGAGGCCAAGTGACTTGCTCAAGGTCACGGGGAAGTTTGCAGGAGAGCTGGTCTGAAAAACCAAGCCTCCTGACCCCAGGTCCCGAGCTCATTCTAATAAATCAGGATTTGGCTCTCAGATGCTCCTGCTGGTAATGTCCAAAGGGCTTAGTTCTCGAACTAAGAGGGCCCCCCCCACCCCCACCTCTGACCTTCCCCAGAGGATGGGGTCAGGATGGACAGAGGTTGTGGAAAAGGGAAAGAGGAAGAAAAATGGGGTGGTTAATGATGGGGGATGGGGGGACAAGGATAGCAAGTGAAAGGCTTACCCCAGTCTGCTGATGAGTGCAAATTATATTTATATATGTGCTAAATACAGTCACTATATTGGAGTTTTTCACTAGGATCACAGCATACAGAATCAAAGGTTTGCATTTCGTATGGAATGTATCCAAAGAGGCCAGCACCACAGTAGGACAGCTTGCAATCACACACCCTGATAGTTTGGACGAAATAAAGTTCGCGGAATTTTTATTTGTTTTTTTTGTTTTTTTGTATTCGTAGTTGTTTGTCATCGTACCAATGCATGCAAAGCATTCCACTCCCAGAAACAACGCCAAAATGAGGTAATAGGAGTAATAAAAAAAATTAGTATCCTTTCTAAATAAATAAATTATAATTAAAAATGCAAAACAACTATAAAAATAATTAAATAAGAACCCACGATATCTACAAGTTAGTCATAAATTATGATTGTTAAATATAAGGCATTTAAACTCACAAAACCCTGTAAACTAGCAACGTGCCATGTTTTTTGTTTTTTGTGGTTTTTTTTCATGTTTGTTTTTCTATCAGCTGAAATCGCTCTAGCATTTGCTCTACGCGCGCGCAGGAGATGAAACACGAGGGAAGGACCTGACAGACGTTGCTACAGCCCCACGCGGGGAGTGTCTGTCCCGCCGGCAGGCGGGGGGCTGGGTCGGGGGGGATTTCTTCAGGAAGAAGAAAAAAAAAATCTGGTGCTTTTTCTTCACCATTGAAAAAACTGTGCTTGTTCAACATTAGGCGTAAAGAGTTAAGAATACTTGCACGGAGGCTGGAAAGATTTGCAGAAGAGGAGCTCGGAGTCCCGCCACGCCACGGGTGAGGGGCGCGGGCTGGGCCGGGCCGCGGGAGGAGCCGCCTGGGCCCCGCCCCGCCGCGCCGGGTGGCCGGGCTTCGTGGGGTTGGTTCGTGGGTTGGCGTCCTGGCGGCCCGGGCTGCGCTGTGGCTAGAGGCCCAACTGGAATCCTGGGGCCGCTGTCGCCCCAGAAGGCACTCATGCGTCTCGGTCAAGGAAGGGTCTGAGTCCCTTGAGTTGAGCAGAAGGAGGACGACCAGGGGTCTCCCCTCCCGGAGGTGGTAGGTGTGAGATGCTGAGGCCCAAACCTGCCTCTTCTCCAGTCTTCCCAGGCTCCTGGACGGTGGGGAGGGCGGCAGGAGGGGGCTTCGACGAAGAAGACACGCAGACCCCCTGTCCTCACTTCTCACACTTCTCACCCCTCTGCAGGTCTGGGAGGTGCCCATCTGGGGTATGAGAGCCCCAGAGAGATGGGCGTGGGGGTGGGCTCTAGGATCTACCCCCAAAACCAGCGCTGAGCTCTCCCCTCTGGGTGGTCCTCACCCCAGTTAGTGCCTCACGTTAGCCTGGGGGCCTGCAGAGAAGTGGCGGGGAGAAGGGGACTTGTCCCACTCAGCCTGTGATACAGATGGTGGTACCCCTGGGGAGAATCGTTGTCAACAGCTCAGTGGGCACACAGCTCTCCCGACTTGAAAAAAGTGTGTTGATGTTAGGGAGGATCAGAGACTGTGAGCGTTGGAAGGAAATTTAGCAAGCATCCAATGTGAGCTCCTTGTGGGCAGCCGAGGAATCTGAGGCCCCGGGAGCAGAGGGCAGGTTCCAGGGCTGCCACGTTGTCAGTGAAGAGCCCGCACAGGAGCCAGACACCAGCTCCCCACCAGCCTCCCACCTGCCGGCCTTGCAAACCAGCCTCGGAGGGAAGAACAAAAACTGAGTAAATGGGCAGGGACCTGCCCTGGACCGCCCCACCCATCTCAGGTCAAAGCAGGATAGGGGGCGAAGTTCCCAACTTCCTGGGGCTACTAGTCACTAGCTCTGTCCAAAATCCTGACAAGTACTTTCCCACTCGTGGGATCTCCAGCCACTGGCCCTGGAGACCAGGTTCACACACTGGAACCACCGAATGGGACGGGATCATGCCCTGGCCATTAACCTTGAATCAGACTAGTCACCCTGGCTCCTCACCTGGACTGTAAGCTTCCCGGAGGCCAGGATGTTGCCTCCCTGGCTGCTGCCTCTCCCAGCATCTGCTCTGGCAGCACTCAGGATAGACGGCCTTGGTCTGAGTGAGAGCCTCAAGGATTCCTCCTACCAGAAGCCATGACCCCTGCTCTCTGCCCGCAGGTGTCCAGAGCTGTGTCCCTCTACTTGACAGCTCCACATGTGCCAGAAGGTTCTATCTCAAGCCAAAATCTGCCTCCCCATCATTTTCACTCATTGATCCTGGTTCTACCCTTTGCAGCAACAATGCAGAATCAAATTTTCATAACCTTAAGGCTGATCTTCATATATGTGATAAATATCTGTCCCCCTTAGTCCTATCTCACACTGATATAAAGGCATGGAGACTGAGGCATGGGGTAAGTAAGGGGAGCAGGAGGCTGGAAGGGCAGTACCCATGAGGGAGAGGAGCCAGAGGCGGGGGCAGAGGAAGGGAGCAGAATTCCAGCTGAGCTGGTATTTTCCACATATGGACAAAGAAAGTTGGCTTGGGATTGGAAGTTGGTGGACTCTCCCATCTCCATTCTCCTGTCCTCCTTTCTCTCTGCTCCCTTTGAAATTCAGAAAGGAAAAAAAAAAAAAATGTGGAGCAGTTCAGAAAGACAGCAGCCAGGGAGGCAACATCCTGGCTTCGGGGAGTCCAGGGATGATGTCACTTGGAACTTCCAGGTCTTGTCTCCCACTACCCCCATCCCTCAACCCCGAGGAGGTTCCCAGGAGAGAGCACAGAAGTCGTTGGGCGGATGGTCGTACTCCTCGCAACACCTCGGTGAGGTAGAGGAAGTAGAAACGGATGCACTGTTGCTTCTCCCCACTGTTAAGAAGAAGGAAACCGAGGCACAGAAAAAGAAAGAGACTTGCCCAAGGTTATCAAAGAGTCAGAGAAAGAGCTAGAGACGAGGGACACAGGGCCTCCCAAACCCACCAAGGTGGTGTCAGGGCCAGGGTCCTCTCTGAGGGACTTGATCAGGATTCAAGACATCCCTGAAGAAGCTCAAGGTCCTCCCCAAGGTCTGCATGTTTGACCTCAGCCTGCGCGTGCTAGCTGAGAGCACTTTGGACAAGACTACTTTAACATCTGATTAATTCTTTGCATTAGGGAGGCAGTGGCCCCATTGCCCCTTTGTGGCAGGGTCTGAGCACAGCCAAAGGAAGAAGCTGGCGTGAGCAGGGCTATCCTGGCCGAGGAGCCTGGGGCAGCTCTAGCTGAACCCCTCCTGGTTCCGTGTGGAACCGGGAGGGGGTGAGGAATGGTTGGAGCTAAGTAGATGGGCTCTGGAAGCGGGGAGCCCTCCTTCAAGACAGATTTATGCCTTTCACCCACTCAAATGCTGCCTTCCCAAGCCCAGCTGAGCCCCTGAGAGGCCCATCGAAGGCCCCCATCTGCTCCGTCTCCAGTCCCTACCCCCTTCTCAGATGCCGCCTCCAAGCTCGCTCCGTGCGCTTGTAAACATGAGAAAAACAAAAGCCAAGAAAAAAAGACAAAAACAAAACCAGGACCCCCTCCCGCCTCCCAACCTGGGTGAAAAAAAAAAAAAATCATACTTTTTCACCGTAAACAGAATTTGGCTTTTTTTTTTCCACCTTTGATTCTTTTTTTTTTTTTTTCTTTTCTCTCATAAAGACGGGGAGATTTTGGGCTGTCGTTGATTGGTTCAGTCAGGCACCAAAACAAGAAACTCAATGAGAAATATTTGGTGCAGATTCGGTAACAGCGACATGTCCACCACAGATGACTGGAGCACCACACACGACATTTTTTTCTGAAGCTAACATGCTCTGGCTGCCATCCACAGAAATAGCTAGAGACCCCTACATGGTTTCTACGTGGTCGAGAGGTATATATACAATCCTTCAAAGGACAGGATCGAGGGGCCGGGCTGTGAGCTGGGACCTCCAGGACCGCCTCTAGACTCTCAGCAGCGTGGCCCCCCCTTCCCGCCCCTGCTCCGGGCAACGCCAGCTCCCTCCCTCCCGCGCAGCAGGCGGACGGACGGACGGACGGACAGACGGACAGACGGGGCAGTCACCACTCTGCATGGGCGGGCCTCCCCCCACCCCCTCCTTTCCTCGGACTCAGATTACCACCAACTCCTCTTTCCACAAAAATGTGCTTGCAGGCTTCTCCTCTACATCAAATGGCTCAGAAGGCAAAGTTTGGCTGCAAGGGCTATGGCCGTTGGGGGGACCTGGTGAAGGAAAATGGGGTGTCCACTGGCTGCTTCTTCCCTCAGCTGTCAGCTCCCAGTTGTGTCTCAATGTCCACTCGGCAGATGGGGCATTTCTTGCTCATGGCGAGCCACTGGTCCACACACAGTTGATGAAAGAGATGCATACAGGGGAGGCGCCTGGAAGAGGGAAGGGTAAGTGGGAGCAGTGGTCAGGGGGAAGGGTCCCGTGCTATGCCAGGAGCCGAGGGAAGCAGACTACTCGGGGGACCAGGAGACTCACACTCAAAGGGTCTTGGGGGCCCTGCCATGGAGTGAGCTTGTGGCTGGGATGGGAATGCATGATAGGAAGGAGAGTCCCAAGACCGCCCTCCTCCTGGCCCTGCAAGTCGAAGCCAGGACTTAACCTGAGATCCATCCAGGCCAAACGCCCCTCTGCTCTCTTAGCTTGGTGTCCAGGTGTCCACACAATGGGCACTACACATCCAGAATGTTCCACACTCCACACAGAGCACACTGCGCACTCTTGCACACTCACGCATGTGCACAGGCAAACAAGCAAGCACTCCCCTCACCCCGACACACGGCAGAGGACCGGCTTGGCCCCAGGAAGGAGGACGGGGGACTCACGGGGCCGCGCTCCTACCTCACATCTTCTCCATCTTCCAGCAGAGACAGGCAGATCGTGCATTTCTCATCAGTGTCTGACTCCTCTCCCTCCTCCTTCTTGCCCTTCCCATCCTGGGGTCTTCGCTGGGAGAAGCAGAGGAGAGCATCTGTCACCTGAAGCCGACTCACCTGCTGGTGGCTACTGTGTTCATCCACAGCACTCCCCCCTCTGCCTTTCAGCCTCCTCCCCCTGTGTGTCAGTCACTTCTGAAGCTCTTAAGTAACACCTAGACTTTGTTTTCGGAGAAGGACATGGCAACCCACTCCAGTATTCTTGCCTAGAGAATCCTGTCGACAGAGGAGCCTGGTGGGCTGCTGTCCATGGGGTCACACAGAGTTGGACATAACTGAAGTGACTTAGCATGCATGCATGCATGCATTGCAGAAGGAAATGGCAACCCACTCCAGTGTTCTTGCCTGGAGAATCCCAGGGACGGAGGAGCCTGGTGGGCTGCTGTCTATAGGGTCACACAGAGTCGGACATGACTGAACTGACTTAGCAGCAGTAGCAGACTTTGTTTTGTTTTGTGTAGTTTTTTAACACCTAGACTTCTGTGTGCTTCCCAGACTCTTCTCCCTGACTCCTCCCCACACCCCGCTCCTTGGTGCAGAATACAGAGTGCGGAAGAAACCAAGAGAATCTTATTTTTGTTGTTCCAGGCAAATTACATCCAGGGTATAAACTTACTGCAGTCCTAAGGGCATAGAGTCTGGAAGGGAATTGGGTGCCTAATGAATCACCCATTGCAAATCTATGGCTTGTGCATAAACAGCTGCACCCTTTCTAGTCCCCTCGCACTGTCCACTCCTCCTTACATTCTCTCCAACCTAGATCCTTGCCTCCACACTTCTCCCTTTCTTCCTTCCTTCCTCTCCTTCCTTCAGCTGATGTCTATTCAGTTATTCATTCATTACTAGACGAAGGCAGACTGGGCTTTACCTCCCAATTTTTGTACCAGGCTTATTTTATGTTGTTGGATCTCTCTGCCTGCCCAGAAAATTCCTTTAAAATAGGTACTAGTTCCACTGTGCACCAGAAACTAACACAACATTGTAAATCAACCATACTTCCATCTTTAAAAGCTATTAATTAAAAAAAGGATAAGTTAAGCACTAGTTCCAATATCATGTTAGCCATCTATAGACACTCTGTTTATACTTGTTAACTTTAATTGTCTTGTTTTAAGTTCTATGCTAAGTATTTGAAAAGCTGGTTTGAAACTCAGCATTCAAAAAACTAAGATCATGGCATCCAGTCTCATCACTTTATAGCAACTATAAGATGAAAAAGTGGAAGCAGTGACAGATTTTTATTTTCTTGGGCTCCAAAATCACTGTGGACAGTGACTACAGTGATGAAATTAAAAGATGCTTGCTCCTTGGAAGAAAAGCTATGACAAACTTAGTGTATTAAAAAGCAGAGACATCACTTTGCCAACAAAGGTCCATATAGTCAAAATTGTGGTTTTTCCAGTAGTCATGTATGGATGTGAGAGTTGGACCATAAAGAAGCCTGAGTGCCAAAGAATTAGTGCTTTTGAACTGTGGTGCTGGAGAAGACTCTTGAGAGTTGCTTGGACAGCAAGGCGATCAAACCAGGCTATCTAAAGGAAGTCAACCCTGAATATTCTTTGGAAGGATTGATGCTGAAGCTGAAGCTCTAGTGCTTTGGCCACCTGATGCAAAGAGCTAACTCACTGGAAAAGAGCCTGATGCTGGGAAAGATTGAAGGCAAAAGGAGAAGAGGGTGACAGAGGATGAGATGATTAGATAGCATCACCAACTCAGTGGACATGAATTTGAGCAAGCTCTGGGAGATAGCGAAGGACAGAGAAGTCTGGCATGCTGCAGTCCATGGAGCTGCAAAGAGTTAGACCTGACTTAGGGACTGCATGACAACAACTACTATGTAGAAAGTTCCAGGTTCTTAGATGGTGTGGACCATGGCTCATCTTTCTTTAGGTTCTGTGCACACTCAGTCAAGTACAAGGCATATCACTGGTGCTTAAAAAAAATATTCTGGGGAGGAAGGAATCTAATCAGTGAATGAAATCAGCCCACTTTGTTCCCATCTCCATGCCAAGCAGTAAAACATTCTGATAACACCCATGAGAATAAAACTAGCTCCTTCCCTGGTGGCTCAGCTGGTAAAGAATCCACCTGCAATGCAGGAGACCCCAGTTCAATTCCTGGGTCGGGGAGGTCTGCTGGAGACAGAATATGACACCCACTCCAGTATTCTTGGGCTTCCCTGGTGGCTCAGCTGGTAAAAAAATCTGCCTGCAATGTGGGAGGCGTGGGTTCAGTCCCTGGGTTGGAAAGATCCCCTGGAGAAGGGAAAGGCTACCCACTCCAGTATTCTGGCCTGAAAAATTCCATGGACTGTAAAGTCCATGGGGTTGCAAAGAGTCAGACACGACTAAGCAACTTTCACTTCACTTCTCTCCCTTCTCCAGGGATAAGCAGACTTAAAGATCATTTAGCCAAGAGAAAAATCTGAAGTGTCACGAGATAAAGACTACCCAGAGAATGACTCTGATCTTGGGGCCAGGCCTAAATTCCAGGTTTCTGCAGTCTGGTTCTTGATCCTCAGTTCTGGAGTCTGAAGCAGTCTAGGGAATTGTATAACCTCATTAGGACATACAAGAAAATCTATGCCTTCGGATCTCAGCTTCCCTGTACCCTATATCCCCCATTGCAATAAGTTTACTCTTAGCCATAATCCAGAAAATCAGAATTACATCCATAGTCTCATACAGTTGTCATGGGTTTGGACTATGAATGGAGTTATGATTATCTGCCTACCTAAGAACCCAGCTGTGTTTGCTGGAGGAATGGCCTTTTTTAGTCAACACTTTGAGAAAGTTCCATAAAAAAATACCACGGAGACTATTTTCTATTGTCTTCTCCCATCATTATTCAGGATTTCCTTTTTATAGTTAATAATTTTAACTTAATATTCTTACTTTGTTTTGCTATGTCTAATCTATATTTCTTTAAACTATTGTCTCTTTTCAAATCTTATCCTATTTCTTCTTTTGTATTTTTAATCTTTTAGGTCTTCTGGCTTTTATCTGCTGTTTTCATTATCTATGAAACTTTTATCTTAACTATAACTTTCTTCAGCATTCTAAATTTAATATTTATTCTATCTCTTTTACCCTTACTTTCTCATTTTCATTAACATTCCCTTTTTACTTTGATGTTATTGATATTAATTTTATATGTTGTTTTCATATCTTTTCAAATACAGAAAAACAACAATTCTTGTTTTTCTGTATTTTCTTTTTAGACTATATTTTAGTTACTCTTATTATTATTACTATTTTAAAATATCCTTTTTTGTTTTATATTATTTTACTGAATTTAAATTTTTTAAGCTTTTATATTTTAAAGGGTTTTAAATGCTATCATTTCACATCTTTAATTGTTCTTATTCCTTATTTTAAAAGATTTTGTTCCCCTAATTCTCCTTTTATTCTTATAATTTCTTAGCTCAACTCTTTATCTCATTGGCTCAGTTCATTTTCCCTTTTCATTCTTAGCATTTGTTCTTTTCCTGATCTCCTCTCAACCCATTGAAGTGATGGCAAATGAAGTATGCAGTCTGGTGTGAGGCCACCCTGGTCAGGAAGGTAGAAGTTGTTCCTGGGCTCCTGAACACACCTTTCTCCCTTCCACGTTCTTTTCCATAAGCTTCAAGCTCTCCCACCAACGAATGGTCCTTTTCTCCATGCCAGTGATCCCCTTAATTACCGAAACACTGTCATTTTCTCTTTGTCCTTGTTCAGTTGCTCAGTCATGTCTGACTCTTTGCGACCCCATGGACTGCAGCACACCAGACTTCCCTGTCTTTCACCTTCTCCCAGAGCTTGCTCAAACTCATGTCCATTGAGTCGGTGATGCTTTCCAACCATCTCATCCCCTGTAGTCCCCTTCTCCTCCTGCCTTCAATCTTTCCCAGCATCAGGGTCTTTTCTAATGAGTCAGGTCTTTGCATCAGGTGGCTAAAGTATTAGAGCTTCAGCTTCAGCATCAGTCCTTCCAGTGAATATTCAGGACTGATTTCCTTTAGGATTGACTGGTTTGATCTCCTTGCAGTGCAAGTGACTCTCAGGAGTCTTCTCCAACACCACAGTTCAAAAGCATCAATTCTTCAGCACTCAGTCTTCTTTATGGTCCAACTCTCACATCCATACATGACTATTGGAAAAACCATAGCTTTGACTAGACAAACATTTGTCAGCAAAGTAATCTCTCTGCTTTTTAATATGCTGTCTATGTTTGTCATGTCCCCTATTAATATGCTATGCATGACCCTGACACATAATAGGTGTGTTAATAGATGTTGGTTGGAATCACTGATGGATATATTCAGTGCCTCCAAGAGAAGCTGCACAGGCCAAGGGTCATGGTCTTTAACATTGACACTGTGGGTCCTGGGCAAGCCTAGAGTGAGTGAGCCTGCTCTCCAGCTAAGAGCAGCTCCCCACACCCAAGCCCTCACCAGGTACGGGTACTGTGCTGGGTTGTGTATACGCACTGTCCCACTGAATCCCCAGAGTCGCCCTATGGCAGTTACTAACATATCTTTCCCATTTTACATTAAAAAGGTAAAGGGAAGGGCCAGAAACACCAAGTAAGCTGTCCAGAGTCATACAGTTATATGTAGTGGTTATGGACTGAATATTTCTCTCCCCACCCCAAATTCATATGTTGAAGCCCTAACCACCCTTCCAATGTGATGGAGGTGGGGCTCTGGATGGTAATTAGGTCTAGATGAGTTCATGAGGGTGGGTTCCCCATGATGGGATTGGTGCCCTTATAAGAAGAAAAAAAAGACACCAGAGCCTCCTTTCTGCCACATGAGGACAGACCAAGAAGTGAGCCATCTGCCAGGCAGGAAGAGTGCCCTCACTAAGAATCAAGTCAGCCAGTGCCTTAGTCTTGACTTCCTAGGCTCCAAAACCATCAGAAATAAGTGCCATCAAGCCACCAAGCAGATGGTATTTTGTTACAGCAGCCCAAAGACAGTAGTAAAACTGAAATTCAAAACTAATTCCAGCACCTAGTGCTCGCAGCCACTGCAGCCTAGGATCTCCTGAGTGGGTGAAGACGGGCTCCAGCTTGACCAGCACGAGCATTTTCCAGCTCCAAAGATTCTCAGTGCTTGTCAAGCTTTTAATTCCTAAACTTAAATAAGTATTTATTTGTTTTCATAGCAGACTTTATTTCATAGAGTTGTGTTACTTTATATGAAAGCGAAGCAGAAAATATAGCCTGCTCCATCCCTTCCCCTCTCAAAATGCACACAGTTTGCCCTATTAATATTTTCCATTAGTTTGGTGTATTTGTTACAATTGATGAACCAAGAGTGATACTTCGCTATTAATAAAGTCCATTGATTTACATTAGAGTTCTTAGGGTTTTGACAAATGCAGTGTCATGTGTCCACCAGTATAGTAACATAAGAAAACAATATTATTTTATATTATAAAATATAAAATGTATATTATGTATTTTTTATATTTATATTGTCTGTATGAAAATATTTTTTCAATCATGGAATAATACTCCATTATATACATGTACCACTGTTTATCTATTTCCTTATTGAAAAACATCTCAGTTGCTTCCAAATTTATTTATTTATTGAATTTAAGAAAAAAACAACTTCAATTCCTAGGTTCTAATCCTACTCCAGATTCCTAAGCAATAGCCCTGGAGAGTCTTCCTCTGCAGGCTTAGGGCAGAGCCTGTGAATCTGTGGCTTTAAAAGTGGTCCAGGTGAAACTGACACTCACAGAGGACTGGAAACCTACCCTCTGGAGCCTTCGCCTCCCATTTGTCCACAGGCGAGGCTGGACTTGGAGTCTTTTTTAAGGCAAACGTTAGCCTTCAGTGCTGGTGCCCCGTTGGCCCTCCACATTCAGATACAAACATTTATCTGCCTGTACACCCGCCCAAACTCACAAGCCCACCAGCACACACAGCTGCACCCCGCTCCCCTCCAGATGAGACACCTGCCCTCGCCCCTCCTGATCACACCGGCAGAGGCACGGGAGAAGACCCTGGGAAGGTAGCAGGGCTGCGGAGCTTCTTCTTGATGTTAAACTATGCCAGGATCAACACCAGCACCCCTCAGCCCCTACCCGCCAGCTCCGCAGGCTGCCTGCTGGCCGGCTTACCTTCCTGCTGGCCGGCTTACCTTCCTGCTGGCCACCCCTCAGCCCCTACCCGCCAGCTCCGCAGGCTGCCTGCTGGCCGGCTTACCTGCCTGCTGGCCGGCTTACCTTCTTGTACTTGTGGGGGAAGGTGAACCTCTCGATGGTGTTCTGCACTGCTCCCCGGGCCACATTTCCCAACCTGTCCTCCAGCTGCAGCAGCTCCTACGAAGAGAAGGCGTGTGGATGCGCGCCCTCCACATGCGCAGACACACAGACGCAGCCACGATGAGGCAGGGGCGCTGGGAGACGCCAGCAGAGACTCACGTGGGGAGAACCAGCGAACTTGTCAGAGGCTCAAAGTCCACGCAAGATCTCTACTCTTTTTCCCCCTCCTACTCAACCCTGAGGCTCCCCGCCACCACCCGTGCCTCCCCCACCAGAGAGGGAGGGACAGGAGACGGTGGGGTCTCTGCCAAGCCAGCAGCAACCAGGCGGAGTGGGAGGGTTCCCCCGGACAGAGGGTCAGGGTGTACCTCATAGCTTTCCCGCACAGCGGAGGTGTGTCTGCTGGGGTTCAGTCCCTGGAGAGCAAGGAAGTGAAGCTGAGGGTAAGGGTAGTTTCGGATTTCATGGACCACCTGTTGGGGAGAAAATGCCTCAGACAGGATTCCAGGCTCCAGGAGCCCAGCTTCCGGTCCCCCTCCTGCAGCTGCCAGTCAGCGCAACCCTGAAGTGTCGCAGATAAGGGAGGGGAAGCGCCGTCTCTCCTCCTCCTGTCTTTTCTGCTCATCAAGAACCTAGCCTGTGCCGAACCAGTGCCAGAAAGAGTCACAAAATCAGTAAAGTGACAAACGAATCTGATTGGGCATTTATTTCACAGCAGGTTCTGCTCTAAGCCCTTCTCGTGACTAACTGAATTACCTCACCTGATCTGTCACGTGGGTACAATTACTATCCCCATTTTAGTGATAGGCTAAACGAGACGCGAACAGATGAAGTAAGTGACATAACCATGGTTTCAAACCCAGGCAGTCAGACAGCAAAACTCACCCTTTCTCCCCTCTGTGCTGCGTTGCCCAGACTACGGTGGGACAAGCGAGGGCACGAAATTTAATGACTCAGGAACCAAGAGAAACAACACTTTAATGTAATATTTAAAAATCAAAGTAATACCAAAAAGTCCATAATGAACAAAAATAGCAAAACTTTAAAGGAAAACAGGATCTGACGGTTTCCTTGCACGGCCCGCCTCACTCACTGTGAGTCAGAGCTCCTCAGCTTACTCCTGCGTGACCCTGGACTTTACCTCTCTAGGCCTCAGTTTGCCCATCTGTAAAATAGGGATAACACCTTTCCTGTGGGGTGATCCCTGGGTTGAGAAGATCCCCTGGAGTAGGAAATAGCAACTCACTCCAGTATTCTTGCCTGGGAAATACCATGGACAGAGGGAGCCTGGTGGGCTATAGTCCATGGGGGTCGCAAAGAGTCAGACATGACTGAGCAGCTGAACAAAGGGTGCTTAGAACGGTGCCCGGTATGCACCAAGCTCTCGGTCCACACAAGGTTTTATTCCTAGCGGGTGGTACTTCATACGTGAACCTTAGAACGTCAGAGCCGACAAGGCTCCTGAGATGACGTCCCAGCTCTCACTTTACACGTGAGCAGACGGAGGTGCTGAGTGGTTAAAGGGCAAAGGCGGTGCCGGAAGAGCAGAATTAACGCTCGGGGGCAGCAGAATTAACGCTGGGGGCAGCAGCATGGAGGATGTCTGGAAACGAGATTTTCAGTCGGTCTTCAGCTGCCTTAACGGAGTCACTTCACCCTCATTCATGAAGCATCATGAAGCTTGGGATCCCAGGAACACAAAGGCCCCCAAACCCAACCTGGCCCACCCACAGTCCCCGCCCCCGCAGTGCTGAAGGCCTATGCTCCACATGAGGCCGCCCCAGATGAGCAGGCAGCCCCGAGGGCCACCTCTAGGGTCTCCTGTGTTCCCACACCAGGGGTCTTCATCCCATTTCACAGAGCAGTAAAACCAGAGCCCAGGAGGCGCCCACCCTAAATGAGGTCATAAGGGGCTCGGGGACTTCCCTGCTTGTTCCTAGCCCTGGGCCTTTCCCCCAACCACTCCCCATCCTCACTCACTCCCACCCCCATCCCTCCACCCCCAGCCCCCCCCAGACCACAGCCTGCCACACTGCCCCTTGCCCCTCCCCCAGTGCCCCCCACCCGTCCTTCCAGCAGTGCTCGTTTCTAATCCAGCAGCTTTCCTTTCTTTCCCCTTCAAGCCTGATTGGGACTGGGAGCTGGGAGGGAAGGGTGGCAGTGGACCTGCCCGGGCGCGGGGCACCGGGACGCAGGTCACAGGGGAACAGAGCCTCAGGCCTCAGCCCACCATTGGCACCAACAGGCGGCAGAGGAGTCAGTCTCCTGGCAAAGCCTCTCACTCACCATCTGCGTGGAGGAGGAGTTTCGGGGGAAATGGTGCATTCGAAGAGTTGCTAGGTAATGCTGATAGTGCTGAGGGACGGGCCGCACCTGGAACTGAGCAGAACTCAAGCCGGCGTCCACACTGAGATCCCTGCAGGGACAGGGCCACAGTGAGGCACAAGGGGTCCAGCCGTCGGGCTGCGAAGCGACCCCAGACATCAAGCCCATCGCGTAGAATCAGGGTCACAAACTGCCGCAGAGGCAAGGGAGCCAATCTCGCCTAGTCCATCCCCCTCATCAGGACAAAGAGAACCAAGACTCAGAGAAGGAAGGGCTCTGCGAGATCCGAAGGAACTAGAACAGTCTGGGCCTCATACTACTTGGGACTAGTGCACAAATCTTCCCAAGGCAAAGTCCATTCCTAAGAGAAATGCTGAAAGAGGAATCCAAATAAGCCAGATACAGATACAGAGCAAAGAAAACACAGGTCCAGATAAAACGGAGGGGTCAGAGGCCAGGCTTTTACCACTTAAAGAAAATAACAGGAGAGGGACCTGCAGCCTTGGGGCAGGAAACTCTCCTGAACCACTGCCCCATTCTTAACCGTGCAGGAAATTCACTGCACTTAGTAATCAATCAGTGAATACTGAAAAGGAACCAGGGTGTCTTGAAAAAATGGCTAAGTTCAGGTCTGAGCACAAAAAAAGGTGCAAAATGAGATTGAAACTTCTTGTCATAATGGAAAGCAAGGAAGTCATCAAAGTCAGGTCAAAAGGATCCAGGAGCCGTCTTGAAGAGGCCTCCACTGGCAGAGTTTGGACATCTGGCATCAGTGAGTGTTGCAATAGGTTGAAATACATCAAATAGGTTCAAATCCATGAGCATGAAATGATGCTAAAGCAAATCGGCCCCCTTTGAAGGATGCTAGGGAACCAACGCTTCATTTTGAAAACTAATAAATACAGGAGAAGAACCAAACATTTATCCTGTCTTTCCTCTATTAACTGTACTTCAGGGTAACCAAATCACAATGAAGGGAAATTGCTCTTTATGAAAGTTTTCTGTGTAATAAATGAATAAGGAATGATTGAATTACTTGTCACCTTCTCACGTCTCCTAGAGAAATAAAGGATCTGGGTGAAGATCATCAATTACTATTAAACTCACATCAGAGAGTCAACCAGCTTTTGGCTGGAAGAACCCAGCATCTCCTCTGAAGTGTTTTTACCAGAAATTACAAGTTGAAGCTGAACCTGTTCAGATTGCAACCTGAGTGCCAAGGTGTAGGGAATATAGCAAACCAAAGGGCACTTGAGCAAATGCAATTTGTTTAAAACATGAGGAACATGGCAAGAATTTCTGCTTCCATCTGTGATGTCTGAACAGTGTGATGTAAATATATTCCTGTGTTTCCTCCATCAGTTCAGTTCAGTTCAGTTACTCAGTCGTGTCCGACTCTCTGCGACCCCATGGACTGCAGCACGCCAGACTTCCCTGTCCATCACCAACTCCTGGAGCCTACTCAAATTCATGTCCATTGAGTCGGTGATGCCACCCAACCATCTCATCCTCTGTCATTCCCTTCTCCTCCCACCTTCAATCTTTCCCAGCATCAGGATCTTCTCCAAGAAGTCAGTTCTTTGCATCAGGTCGCTAAAGCCCAGATCCCTGGAACAACTCCTGATGAGTCTGCCCCCTTGGGAAATGAGGTAACTCTTGGAGTTAGTTGGAAGTAAACTTAGAAATCCTCTGAGTCCAACCCCTCATTTTTGCAGGCCCAACGGAGGCCTGAAGAAGGACAGTGCCCGATCCACAGCCCTGGGCTAGCCAGTCTGGGACTCCAGGGTTTCTGACCCTCACCTGGGCTCATCCTATGACCTGCCTCGACGAAAGGAGTTCCATGGGGCACCTTGTGGGCAGAAACTTGGACTCTTAGCAGCTGCCCAGCAGTCCCAGCAGATTCACAGCTGCAGAGAGATGTTCAGGGAATTCTACCAAAAGCAAAGTCCCAAGGAATTGAGAACAGAATCGCTCCAATTCTGAGAGTGTTGACTAGAGAAGCAAAAGACACCTTCACCCTCAGATGAGTGGGGTGAGTTGCCCAGGGTAGGCCTGGGTGGGCTCTGGGATCCCCTTTGATCATCTCACCAAAAATCTGACCCCAAACCCAGGATCCCCGAACAGCTGCCTGCAGGGGAAGGAAGCCAGGAGGCTCTCATCTCCATGCCCCTTCTCTACCTGTCCCAGGTTCCCCGGGCAGGGCTAGGACTAGGTGGTGGAGTGGCCTGCAGTGGGGGCAGAGATGGAACCATGAAGCCAGGACTGAGTCAGAGGAGACACTGGAGGAGGGCGCAAAGTTGGGGTCCAGTTACCAGGCCTAGGCCAGAAAGGGGAACTTTGTGTGGGGAATTTATCCCCCAAGGCCTGCTGCTCCCACACACTCTCAGGCCAGGGTGCTCAGCTGAGAGCAGCTGCGCGGGTAGGGCTGAAATCTCCTAAATGTCAGGGCAAGGCCAGTCAGCCTCAGGCCTGGGGCTGGACCAGGCTCTGGGGGCCAGTTCCTGGAGTGATGAGGGCAGGAGTCAGTGATTCCTGATGGTTCTTTCAAGGAAAGGGGCAGGGAGGTCAGGTCCAGACTCACTCCCACCTCCTCCCTCCCAGGGCTCCTCTAAGAGCGGGAGAGCGGCCCCTCCTCTAATGCATTTCCTGTCATCTAATCTCCAGAACCTTGCATCTCCTGGCAGAAGAGACTTCCCTGGGAAAGAAGCGGGGTGGGCATGTAAAGCCCCTCGTCACCACTAGGCTGGCCCTTGCTGGAGCAGAGCTCATTACAGGAAGGAGAGAGGGCCTCCCACTTGGGAAGTGGGGAAAAGCCCAAGGTGGCCCTGGGCACAGGGGCCCCAGTTTCTCCCAGTTCTCAGGGCAGGCAGGGGTCAGGAATGCAGAGCAACAGAAATTTGAGGAAGACAGGAGATTTAGAGCAAGCTGGCTAACCCGCACCCGCATCCGCACCCCTGACATGTCTGCAGCATCACCCTCAGCGTGTCACCTGACCCTCCCACTTGCCACGTGGGACCCCGTGTGTGTATTCAGATCCCTCAGCCGCACACAAGGACCCTGGGCGCTCTGTGCGCCGAAGTGAATTAAATTGAATTGACTTGCCTGCCGAGTGACAGAATTTCATCCAAACAACAATTAAATCTTCCTAATTTGAATCTGCTAATTAGAAAAAGGCTGGGCTGAAGCTGGCTGTGGTACAATCTCTTAAGGAAGTGTTAAATCTAACAGAGAAAACTGGAGAACTAGTGAGGGCTGGAGACGATGGAACCTGTGAAAACAACCCTCTCCTGCACCTAGAAGCACGTTTAACATCCAATCATCCATAACTGCCCCTCAGAACTATTCCTGGGTGTCCAGCCCTGGTCACACTTCCAAAGCAACCATTGCTCATGGAAGTTAGCCTGACTAAATGGTTGAGTAATGACACTACTGTATGTCTATTTTATAAATAGTCCATTCCCTTTCATTGAGGTTTTTTTGTTTTTACATTCTTTTAAAGAAAAAATATTTTTTTAACCTCAAATTTGTGAGAACAGCACCAAAAATTCCTGGTTATCCTTCATCCAGATTCCCCAGATGTTAAAGTTTTACTACTTTACTGCATTTCTTTTTCCTTCTCTCTCTCCATTCATCCATACCTACATACCTACTTATATATACCCATACACAGTTCTCCATAGATTTTTTTTTTCTAAACTATTTAAAAGTAAGTTGCAGGCATGACGCCCTTTACCTCTTAGTACTTTACTGAACTGCACATCTTTTTTTCAAGTGTTTAGGTGTTTGGATCTGACCCTAGGTTAGGTCAGCCCTCCCTGAGCTAGAACCTGTGAGTAGAGTGGGACCAAGGACCCAAAACCAAATGGTACTGCATCCCAGGGCAAGAAAGACCTCTGTTTTGAGTGCAGATTGTGGTAAGACTTCACAAGGCCCCACTGCCTACAAAGACCCCTCAACCAAGCCCTCAACCTCTCCCCAGGCAGTCTCCCCAGGCCTTGCCTCCAACCTGGCTGGTTCTATCTCCCTGAGCCTCTTTTGCCTGGCTGGCATGCCCTGGCACTTCTCTCTGGACTCCTCAAGGCCCACTCCCTCCAGGAAGCCTTCCCTGACCATCATGCTAGCTCCTGAGACTCTCCTATCTGCCCTCCTCCCAAGGACCATTGGTTCACAGCACTCCCTGGACTTGGGAAATGCATTGCATCCCTGTCAGAGCCTCCTAGGCAGAACCACGAGAACCGAGTCCCAGGCTGGGCACGTGGTGGCACTTAGCCACATCTGAGCTTGCTGCCAGAACTAAACCTCTGGGGGCCCATCTGGCTCCACAGGTGGCTGGGGACAGGGCAAAAGCTGGGGCTTGAAGACTAGGACTTCTGCATCACTGATGTGAAGGAAACAGGAGCTCCATGGATCTGGCAAGACCCTCCTCTCACCCTCCCCCAGGGGCCCCAGAGACTCACCAGTCAGTGCCCTCAGCCAAATACCTGGGCTGAGGTGTCTGTAGTTGGTGGCCGAAGTCGAAGCTGGGGTGGAGGCGGTGGGGATGGACAGACACGCGCTCCTGACTCCGCCTGCACCAGAAGGGAAGGAGGGCCCAGGCGTCAGGGCAGCCCTGGGCCAGCCCAGCTTGCAGGAGCCCTGAGCCCTGGTGGCCCCCGCCCAGGCCTAAGTATGGAGCAGTGGCCTTCAGCCCTCTTCCCAAACTCCAAGGAAGCTTCCTGGGCAGCAGCTCAGACATTCCCGCTGTTTGTGGGCTGCCCACTACGCCGAGGCTGCTCCCCAGGCCTAGCTGCTGCAGGCCTGCTGTCTCACCCAGGCTCTCTGCCTCCTTTGCTCCTTCTACGCCCCTCTGTCCTTGGCGGGTTGTATTCAGGACACACAGACCTGCCTGTAGCATCTCCCACGTCTATGCACCCATAGCCTCTGCTGCCGCCATGCTCTTCTCCTCTCCTCCACCCTTCTCCACACTCTTCCCAGTTTTCATGGCCCAGGACTAGGCCTCCTCCAGGAAGGGCTCCCAGAACACTCCAGATCACAGTGACCTCTGCTTCCTCTGACCTCCTACAATACTCACCTTCTGTCCCAAGCACCCCAGCCTCTACAGACACGAACGCTTGGGGCCTTAAAGATCATCATGTCCAGAGATGCTCAAAGTATGCTCCAAGGACCCCTGGCAGTCCCTGTGACCCTTTCGCAGGGTTTCTGAGGTCAAAGTGATTTTCAGTATAGTACTATCATGCATTTGCTTTTTCACTCTCATTCTCTCACAAGTGGACAATGGAATTTTTCTAGAAACTACATGACATGTGATTCAGCTACAATTCAAATCCAAAAGCAGACTTGAGAATACAGCCATCTTCTATTGAGCCAGGCATTAAAGAGATTTGCAAATACATAATTTTTAAAAGTCACTCTTTTCACTGCATTTGTATATAGCTATTCTTTGAAAAACATTATTGGTGTTAATATAACTTTGTTATTGTCATTTTAAAATGAATTAACAAGTATCTAAAATTTTTTCAGTTTTAATTTCTAATGGGGTAAGTATCAATAATCATAAGCCACATCAACAAAAGCTTGCTATAGTCCTCAATAATTTTTAAGAGTGTAAAGGATGTCCTGAGACAAAAATGTTTGAGAACCACTTATCTTGTACAATTCCTTCTCTTAACAGTTGAGACTCAGAGAGGTGAAGTGACTTGCCCAAGGTCCCACGGTCAGTTCAGCCCCATTTGATTAGTACTGTCTCATTTTACTCTGCATTTACATGGTGGGCTCTTTGTGGGCAGGGCTGACCCAGGGCATCCCTTAGGGACCTCCAGTGTTAGAATCAAATGACCGTGAAGTTTGAGAGGGTGCGAGGGGTCCCCGAGTCTAGTCTCCCACACTGTGCAAAAGTCCACCGTGAGCATCTTAGTCCACTAGTTACCCGGCTCCTGACCAGCTACCTGGGCCATGTGACAAGGACACATACTAGCAACAGAGGACACCGGTGTCAAGTTAAAGCCTTGCTCACCACCCGGAATGAATGCCTCTAACCAGAGTAAAAGCTGCTTCCTACAGGGAGACTCCTTTGGTGCCTGACGGCTGGCCCAGCCTGGCCAGGTGGAAACCAGGGGTCCCGCCCCAGGCCCCGCCCACGGCCCCGCCCCGGCCCCGCCCACCTTCACCCACGTGGCCCACACACCTGGGGTGCGAGACGAGCCGGCGGTGCTGGGCTTCCAGGAGCTGCTGCTGCAGGAGGTATTGCTGGTGCAGGGCCTGAGGTAGGAAGGAGGGACCTGTGACGTCCTGGAACTGCAGGGCGGGCAGCGGGGTCAGCGACTGGTGCAGGGCGCCGCTGTGCTGGTGGGCCGGGGCCATGTGGGCGCTGAGGCCCGGCTGCGACTGCACGGGGTGGGCCAGGGGGAAGTCGGGAGCGAGCTGCTGCGGCTGCGGGGGGCCCAGATGGAAGTGGCGGCAGGAGGTAGCGTGAGGAAGCTGAGACCTTTGAAAGGGGGCACCTGGAGAAGCAATGACAAAGACTCCATGAGGACTAGCCCTGCTACCCTCCCCCACGGGTCTCATCTCCTCCTACCCGCAACCTGCAGCCCGTGAAACTCAAGACCTTCATTAGAACCCAACGGTGTCATTATTCTTATATACAAATGATCATCAGTGCTGCCTGGTAAAGGCTCAGGGCAGAACGTGTTGGAGGGAGGAGGCATATTTTGTTTAATGAATAGACAAGCGTTCTCTTTTAAATTAACACACTAGTTAAAGGAATTTTAAGGTCCCAGGAGACAATTTGGCTTTCTTGAATTTCTCCCAGGCAACTTTATTGATCCTACTACCTTTTAAAATAGATGCCTAGAGAAACCGCCTGCAATGAAGGAGACGCAAGTTTGGTCCCTGGGTTGGGAAGATCCCCTGGAGAAGGAAATGGATAACCACACCAGTATTTTTGCCTGGGCAGAGGAGCCCGGTGGACTACAGTCCATGGGGTTGCAAAGAGTAGGACACAACTGAGCAACCCACACACACAAAAGAAAATTTAGTCCAGCCTAGTCAAGCTCTGAAGCCTTGGCTGGCCAGGACCCAGCCTGCAGAGAGCCCAAATTTCTGAGGAGAAAACAAGTTGTTTTCCATGCCGTTTAAAAAAAAACCTAATCACACAAAATTTTAAGTATAATTAATTTGTTGTAATATTGTAATTTTTTAAAAAGCAAAAATTTCCAGCAATAAGCCAGGCTCACGCTTCATTTAATCTAGTCTCCACCACCTTCTAAATAAAATTGACCTTGATAATGGGAAAATCTTGCAACTTCTCCATAAGCAGAGATCCAGCTCCCAGCACTGGAGCCCTTTAATAAGGAAGGAAGTAGACTTGGCACCTCAGGAAGCTTTACAGAGGCTTCCTGTTAAATGTGGCAGGTTCAACACATATCTGTTCCTTCCCAAACCCCACTGAAATGAGAGCAAAGGAATAAAGAGAAAATAAACAGACAAGGACAGGGAGAACAGGAGACGTGACATCAGCAGGAAACAAATGTCAACAGATTGGAAGACAGAAAGCAGATGGAGGAATTAGCAGAGCTGAGAAATTGGAAACAAAGCACCTAATGAAGGTGTGGACTTCCCTGTAGCTCAAATGGTAAAGAATCCGCCTGCAATGCAGGAGACCAGGGTTCTATCCCTGGGTCTGGAAGACCCTCTGGAGAAGGAAAGGGCAGTCCACTCAGTATTCTTACCTGGAGAATCCCATGGGCAAAGAAGCCTGGGGGGCTACAGTCCGTGGGGTTGCAAAGAGTTGGACACGACTGAGCGGCTAAGCACACACACAATGAAGGTGCAGTCAATGAGAAATGGATAGATCTTGCCACACATGCTGGAACGGTGTGGAGTTGGAGGTGGTGACTCCCTTGGAAGGTGGAGAGATGGTGGCGCTGAGAATGGGGAGGCTGGTTGCCAGCCTGTATGAGGAACAGTTCTTCCCTTTCCAGTGCAGTGACTGCCCCTCCCTCGCCTTGGCATTTTGCAGGGAAACTGAGCCAGAAGGGCCCCTGTAGTGGAGGACGGGGGTGCGGCACTGCGCTCCAATAGGGGGGTTAAGTGAAAGTCTATGCATGGAACTTTGGAAACCTCTGTTCCCTTCTGCCACTTGCTTCAGTGGACACTGCCCTTCATGTGCCTCTCCGCTCTCCCCACACACCCCACAGCTCCAGGCTGGAAACTGGTCCCAGAAAGAGCTCTACAGATCCTTCTGGTTGGGAGTACCCAATAAAATGGTAGCATCCTCAGCCAGCCACTGCATAACAGAGCCCATAAGTTGACAGGTCCATGCATAGGCACAGAGCTTCTGGAAGTTTTGGTGACCTGCTCCTCAATGTGAACAGACAGCCAAGGATGACTAGTCTCTTGAGGAAAAGTGAAAAGAGAGAGAGTATACTAATTTAAAAAAAAAAAAGAAAAGAAAAAAAAAAAAACTCAGAGGAACAGAAGTAATGCAGGGGTCAAAAAAAAAGAAGGAAAAAAAAGACCAATAAACTTCAAAATACATAAATTGATATCCTCAAAAAAAAAAAAAAGATATTGGGTCCATGGAACAACTGTAAGCTCCTTTAAAAGGAGCAGTGAGGAGACACGAGAGCACTTGAATTTAAAAATATAAGAAGTAAACTCTGAAATTCAGCAGAAGGGTTGGAAGATGACACTGGGGTAATTTCCCAGGAAGCAGAACAAGAAAACAAGGAGATGAGGAGAAACATGCCAAAGTTGAAGGATTCAGTCAGAAGAGCCCACAGTTTTTCTAGTAAGAGAGAAAAATGGAGAAAATTATGGGGGAAAGTATTTTTAAAATTTCCCAGAACTGAAGGTCAGTTTCTAGATAGAAAAGGCCCTCTGAGTGCCCAGCAAAATGGGGTGGGGATGGGGAGAACCACACACTGAGGCATCTCCCAGGGAAACCCCCAAGCCTGGGGGCAGTGAGACGATTCTGACACCTTCCAGAGAGAAGGCACAGCAGTCCCATTAGAAGGTCAGGAAGCAGGATAGCACCAGATTTTTCAACAGCAGTACTGGAAGCTTGGAAACAGTGGAGCAACTTCCTTCAAGGTACTGCAGAGGTGGGGAGGGGGAGACTTTCAATCTAGAACTCTGTGTCCAGCTAAACTTAATCAGGCATGAGAAGAGAACAGACTGTTTTCAAACACGCAAGGTCTCAAAAAAAAAGAAAATTAACTTCTCTGCACCCTTTCTCAAAGAGGTACTGATGCAAACCAAGAAAAAGGAGCAAAGAAATAGGGGGAAACCTGGAAGAGGGGGGGTTTCCCAAGCACACGGCTGTACAGACCCTCCAGCAACTATTTCAAGGGGGTAGGAGGGAGGGTGCTCTGAGGAGGTATCTGGGGGGTAGATAAAAAATATAGGATTACCATTAGATTTGGCCACAATAAAATAATACTTCAAGAAATTTTCCAATTTTATAGAACATTTGGTAAGAATTTATAAAACTGTCATAGAAAGCAGGCAATTATTATCTCTAGGAAGAGGAAATATTGTTCAGAAAGTGTAATTATTATGTACTGCTTGGTTCAACAGTGAACAATCTCTATATATTAATAATACAATAAGCATTAATAAACTATTTTAGAACAGAAAAGGACATTTATTGCATAATAAGAAGAAAACAATGTCAAAATTGAAAAACCAACAAATAGCAGTATAAGAATTTATTTAGAAATTTACTTAGTAATTTATGTATTTCAGGAAGTAAATACTTGAAGAAGAGCTGGGAGTGTTGAGCTTCTAGTGGTGGGGCTGGGGTGGGGGTGAAGGGCAGATAATCCCTGTTTTATTAAATGTGTCTTGTACTGGAGTTATTTGTCTTTGTAAATGACATGCATGTCACTGATAGGTTTAAAAAAAATTTTTTTAATGAATATTTGCAAAACAAAATGGAACTATAATGTATTTCTGGCTCACTGCAAGTAAGCCAGAAAAGAATTATCTAGAATCTTAACTCCCACAAGCATCACAGATCAGTAGGCTTCCCTGCCTGGTGAATTGTGGCTTCCAGGAGTCCAGGGGCTGTGGCCTGAGCACGCTGGCTCTGGCTTCCTCTTCCTCACTCACCACTATCTATCACCAACATGACCGTAAAGAAAGGAGAAGGCCCACGCAACCGAAGGAAAGAGGGCAAGAGAGGGATGGAGAGCTGTCAAAAGCTAACGAAGTGAAAGACAGCCACGACTGCGGAGGAAAGGAACGGGGTGACAAAAACCAAGAATATTTTGAAGACTCCAATCCACCACTGTCTGTTCAGTTACAATGTGAGCCATATATGCAATCGTAGATTTTCTAGTAGCCCCCTTTAAAGAAGTCAAAAGAGACAGATGAATGTAATTTTAACAATATATGTTGTATAACTCAGTATATCCAAAATGTTATTATTTCAGCATATACTCAATATAAAAATTTATTGAAGGACTTTCCTGGTGGCCCAGGGGTTAAGAATCTGCCTGCAAAAAAAAAAAAAGAATCTGCATGCAAATGTAGGAGACATGGGTTTGAACCCTGGTCCGGGAAGATTCCACATGCAGGGCAACTAAGCTTGTGCTTCACAACTGAAGCCCATGTGCTCTCCACGCATTGCAGTGAAGACCCAGCACAGCCTAAATAAATAAATGACATTATTTTTTTTTAAGTATTGGGATAGTTTACATTATTTTTTTTCATACTAAGTCTTCAAAATCCAGTGTACACCCAGCACAGTACATCTGTATACACAGTACATCTGCAGTAGCACTTGCAGTTAGCAGCTTCCATGTTGGACAGTGCAGCTCTAAAGAAAGAAGACCAGCGCCACAAACAGAGCAAAGTGTTTTAGCCAAGTTTGCTAGCGTGTCTGCCAGTAGCCCCCCTGGCTTGCTGGCGAGATCCACACACCTTAACCTGATCGTCTAGCTCCCTCCTCCTGATCCCCACCCCCACCCCCACCAAACCCTCTGCCATCATCCACGCTGGACCACTCGGATCTGCAGACATCCACGTTCCCACTCTGGGGCCATTGCTCACACTGGTGGCTGCCTTCCCCACCTTTAAAGGTCATGTCACGGCAACTCAAAAAATGCCTCTCCTGCCCACCAGCCCCCGGGGACGCCTTCCTCCTCTGTGTTCCAATGGAAGGCCCTGTCGCTACCACTCCCTTGGGCCCTGGCAGTAGGTACCTTGGGCTGTGACTTCACACCTGCCGCCCCCAGCTGGCCGAGCTTCGTGTCTCGCTGTTTCTGGACCCCCACACGCCTCCCTGGAGCTGGCACTCAGTGAATACCTGGTTGACTGACTGCTGGAGGGACTGAGGGAAGGACAGGGGCTCAGAGTGACTGATGTGCTGAGGCTGGTTGAAGGCAAACTGATATGAAATCAAGAGGGAAGGAAGGTGGCCAGCAGGGCTGGGGTGAGCTCTAGGTTTTAAAGCTGCAGCGCCCAGGGGCCGGTCAGGCGGAGCAGGCAGGCATCCTCC